TTCTACAGAGCCATTGAAGAAACCTCGCACTGTTCACATTGACGTTTATTGCACTGGATCAGAAGATGATGAAGAGGGCGCTGAAGGCGAAGACGAAGGTGATAATGCCGATGCTGAAGCATCGATTAGTTCCGATGAGGAGAATGCGAGTAAACATCATGATTTAGAATCAAATTCCACGCCACAGACTGTCTTCGATAACGAACAGCTCCTGCTGAAGCATAAACGCATCACCGGCCAGACACTACCACGCCGCTGGCAACAAACAGAAAAGCGGTCAGTGGAGCAAGCGCACACACAAGCCCCACAAGCAGGCGATTTAAATTTAGGGCATGCCATCACTAAATCCAGCACTGCAGAGGAGGTATCCGAGTCCAAGCAGCTACTCTTTCGCAAACACATTGGCGATCAGCGCGCAGCGAAATTGGCGGCACTTCGTCAAAAGTACATGCGTCAACCCAGTGACGATGCAATCAGCTCAAATTACCCCAACTCGTCGCGTTCCACTGTACGTGATGCTACTTGCAGCAGCATTGCTTCGAGTGTTGTTACCTCTTCGCAAGCTGAGTACCCGGCTGACTCTTCTTGGAAAGAGGGTGATGATCAGGAAGAAATGTATTCACTAGCAAAATCGGATAGTTTCGAGTACGAGAACACAACCGATCGGTTACGTATAAAACAAATGGAGCGCTTCTGGTCACGCACATCTTCTACAGAAGAGCCGCCACGTGGTGGATGTCAAGCCTTATCGGGTTCTCCGGTGCGTGGTCATATGCAGTCTGCTTTCTTACAGCCGATATCTGAAGTAAGCTCGCACCACAACTCACCATTTACTACGCCTGTTTCGCGGCACGATACATTGCCATCTGAATCTGAAAACTTTTCAGAGGCGTCTGACATCTACTATACGTATCCGGGTGCAGCGTCAACTACTTCTGCTGCACAACGTTCTTCGCCTGCCTACTTGCAGCAGACATCGCACTTTCCACGTAATCGACCCGGCTTTTTGCAGTTTTTCGGCCCATCTACCTCTCCGAGCCCGCAGAATCAACAGCATGGCCCTATAGAAGAAATGCC